TGTTCAATGATTTGTAGACATACAGGATAATTTTGAATTGGATTCTAAGGTGAACCGGTAACCAGTGCAGTGAGGCCAAAACTGGTGTAATGTGCTCTCTTTTGCCTGTACTGGTTAAAAATCGGGCTGCTGCATTCTGGACCAGTTGTAGTCGTGCAATGGGGGTTTGACTGATACCAAACAGGAGTGAATTGCAGTAATCAAGCCTATATGTAATGAATGCATGTATTACTGTCTCCAGGTTCTTTTTGGACAATATGGGCTTCAGTTTAGACAGCCGCCTCAGTTGGAAGAAACATGATTTAACAATCATGTTTACATGATTGTTAAGTTTCAGGGAAGGGTCCATTATCTCTCCCAGATTAATGACTCTTTGTTTTTCTGACAGGGTTAGAGCGGAAAGGTCGATGCAGTGGTTTGTGATCGTGTCATTGGGAGGAAACAACATGACTTCAGACTTCTTTTCATTGAAACTTAAGAAGTTTAAAGCCATCCAGTCCCTGATGTCAGCCAGGCAGTCGAGCAGAGGTTGAATAGAGCATGTACCATTGTGTCTTAGGGGGAAGTAAATTTGACAGTCATTGGCATAGAAGTGGAAGGGCATGTTGTGTTTCCGGAAAATAGCACCAAGTGGCAGCAGGTATAAAGAGAATAGGAGGGGACCCAGGATGGACCCCTGCGGAACCCCCCATTTAAGCTCTGCCGCTGCAGAACTAAAATCCTTGATGGAGACACAAAAGGATCTGTCAGTGAAGTAAAATCTGAACCAATTGAGGGCTGATCCTGTGACGACCACCCACTGCTCCATCCTAGCAATGAGGATCTCATAGTCGATGGTGTCAAAGGCGGCTGTGAGGTCCAACAGGACAAGCAGCACAGAATCACCGGTATCTGTGAATCTGAAGATGTCATTAAAAACCTTCAGCAGGGCAGTTTCAGTGCTGTGGAGAGGTTTAAAGCCAGATTGGAAAAGCTCTAAGATGGTGTGATCCTCCGGGAAGCACTTCAACTGGGACTCGACTATTTTCTCCAGTAGTTTAGAAACAAATGTGAGTTTGGAGACAGGCCGGTAGTTGGAAACGACTGAGGGGTCAAGGTTTGGCTTTTTCAGGAGAGGCTGGACAGCAGCATGTTTAAAGGATTTTGGCAACCACACCAGTGGATAAACTACTGTTTACTATGGCAAGAATGGACAAACCTAGAGTTGGAAAAACCTCCTTTAGTAGTCGAGGGGGGACCACATCAAAGGGGGAGCCAGAATGTTTCAATCTGCACATGACCTGCTCCAGAGAAGATAGAGTGATGGGTTCAAAATGGTCAAAAGGAGCTACAGATTGAGGTGGGATGGATGGGTCATGAGTCAGAGGGGAAATGAGAGCCCGGGTGGTCGCAATTTTTTCCAAAAAAGAAATGTAAGACGTTCTCGCACAGCTCAGTCGAGTCTTCCAGAGGTGATGGTTCAGTGAGGTGGAGAACAGAGTTTAGGGTGGAGAAGAGGACACGTGGGTTGTGAGAGTTTGAGATTATGATATAAGAGAAGTATTTGGATTTAGCAGCTTTCACTGCTTTCTGATAACGGCGCCAACTCTCCAAGTATTTGAAAAGAGACCTGCAGCCTGTCTTTCCTCCACTTGCGCTCCACCCTCCTACATTGCTGCCTAACGGCCTTGGTGACGTCACTCAGCCAAGGTTCTGCTCCGAGTTTTGATTTTCTAGTTTTAACAGGTGCAACATGATCCAGAGTCTTTAAGCAGACAGAGTTGAACTGGGATGTCAGTCCAGATGACCTGACTGAGCATTATTGGATGTGGTACCTGGATGATTGAGCATGAACTTTGTTGCCAACAGGAAGTTGTTTTAAACTGAAGTTTCAAAATAAAGCTTGTAGAAGGTCATCAAAATAAGAGTCTGGTTATGTTATAGCATAATTATATTCCAACTTATTATTTATAGAAGAAAGACGATGATGTTGGAATTTTGAGCAGAAGCTGCACCCTTCAAAGATTTTTATTATTTATTTATTTTTGTTCACTTAAGATACAGTTGTTGACAAAGTCTCAATCTTGTGGACCAAACAGATAAGAACAAATTAAACATTGTGCTGAACATGATTCAGAGTTCAAAATGTTCCCCAAACAACAAAGATGTGTTTTTATAGTCTCTGGAAGGCATCATAAGGACCAGAAGGTTTGGCTGGATTATTCCAAACGCACCTGATCGTTTGAAGCGGTGTCCAATGCTCCGGGACCAGCCTATGTTATGGATGAGGGGGCTGTACATGTGGCACCAGAAGTCATCCAAGCCGTCCTGGCTCTCCTCATAGACCAGCCTGAGGCGACCTCCGATCACCTGCTCCACCAGTGCCACCCGTGTCCGGCACAGGTAGTTTTTATCCACCACCTCGACTCGCATCAGCTTCTTAAATGGAAACTGCATATTCTCATAAACCTGACGTTCAAAGAAACAGGATGCTGATGAGTTTGGAGACGAGTCAAATCTAGTATTACAAGATTAAAACATCTCATCTTTAACAAGCGCACCATGACAGCTGTATCTCACCTTGGAATTAAAATCCGGTGGCAGTGTTTTTGCTCCAGTGAGACGCTTCACAAGAAAGACTTTCCAGTTTGAGTACTTATGTTGTATACCTAGAAGAGACGTCACAAAACATCAAGGCAAAACCCACTGTCAACGTTCAGAACCAGCAGCTTCAAAACACATTTTTACTCGCTTTAAAACACCTACTTTTAGGAGGTACAAGGGGTTTGTTGCTTGACGCGCACCAGCCCACTGGGTGCACCTCAGGGACACACAAATTACACCAGAAGTCTTTACTACTGTCGGTGTCAAAGCCCTCATACCGGAGGAGTGCCTTGAACCCTGCAGAGTGACAGAAAACACCACTTCAGACCTGGAACTGCACAAGTTCAGGTCTAAACGTGAACGTTCACACCTGCAGTAAAATGTGTCGGAGTGGTCTAATCTCAGGAGTGCAATGACACCAACATGTTGGTTATTTAGTGAACTGAAAAATAACAATGAGCAAAGACAAATCTAAAAATACACCTTTTGTATGTTGTACAACTTTCCCCCATCATCCCCACTTAGGCCAGTCAAACCTGTAGTGAGCTGCTTGTGACAAAGGTCCCTCAGGGATACACCCGACTCATAAACCAACACCCAACCCACCATGCCAACGAGCATAAGCAAGAAGGGCCTAAAAGTTGCTTTTAAGGGTGTAGCGAGACAAGATAAGAAACTGGGTTAACAAGAACAAGATTTTAACAATATTTAAAAAATTAACAAGCTGCACGACGACGTCCCCCGTCACTAAGGGATTTACACAGTGAATATAGCTTTTGAGAAAAATGTTTTTCTGGACTGGAATTGAAAAGAAACTGCAAGTAAATCAAAATGTTTTGGTGCAAGATATTAAGTGGGAAGGAGTTACACTGTGGAGAACAACAGATTTTTTTAATGACCCCGGGTGCACAGAGTGACAGAAGCTGGTGAGTAGAGAGAGTAATTTTATCCACCACCAGGTGCAAAGGCGGAGCCAGGGGATGATCAATGGTGGCCCTGGTCCCCATTGATTAGTCATCGGCCACTGAAATCATTTGAGGAAACTATAGTTTTAAGCAAAATAAAAACTAGCAAGCAAAGTTGCTTCTACATCTATCTATATATCAATCTATATAGCGTATTTTCCGCCATAAACATTGCACCGTCTCATAAGTCACATCAGTCCAAATATGTCGAACAAAGTGGAAAATCCATAAATACGTTGCTTCGCCGTATAAGTTGCATCTATTATACGTCACCGCTGATGTGTCGCATTTGTTACGAGTCACCGCTGACAACCCAGAAATGTGGACCGGTGTTGTGCCAAAAATCAATTGACTGCAAAAAGGCGGCCGCGGGAGCGTGCACAGGAGGACTTTAACGAGAATTTAACAAGATTAACACTTAAAAACAATTATTTGTTTGAAAGTGTTTCTCAGTCTAAATTTGCTTAATAAATGCACTTTGACGGTCAAATCAGCTGCATTTCAAAAGTAGTTGATGCCTTGGTGCTCCGGGAGCGCACAGACAGGGAGGAAAAAAGGAAGGAGGAATGTTGCGCAGTTCTTCGAAATTTAACAAGATAAGCACCTAAAACAAATATTTGTTTGCTCGACATTACAGTAAAGGTGTGTCTCAGTTGAACTTTTACTTAATAAATGCACTTCAATGGTCAAATTAGCTGCATTTCGCCGGGCGGCACAGCGAAATGCAGCTAATTTGACGGTTGCTCCAAGCAAGCAGAACAAAGGTAGCATCTATGGCAAGCCAGTTGTGTCATTAAAAGCCACTTTTATTTATTACATGACACAACAGCATGCCATACTACTCTGGTACCATCTAGTGGCTGAAAATGGTAGTGTTCAATGTTTTCAGTCAGAATGAATGAAAACAGTCAAATCTCAGCCAAAAATTGGTTCATAAATATGGAAAAAAATCCATAAACAAGTCACTTTGGTGTATAAGTCGCAGGGCATGCAAATTATGCAAAAACTGCAACTTATAGGCCATAAAATACAGTAAGTAAAATTTAGTGAACTACACACACACACACATATACAGTGAGGAAAATAAGTATTTGAACACCCTGCGACTTTGCAAGTTCTACAACTTAGAAATCATGGAGGGTCTGAAATTTTCATCTTGGCTGCATGTCCACTGTGAAAGATATAGTATATAAAAAAAAATCTAGCAATCACAATGCATGACTTTTTAATAATTTATTTGTGTGTTACTGCTGCAAATAAGTATTTGAACACCTGCCAATCAGCAACAATTCTGGCCCTTAAAGACCTGTTAGTCCTCCTCTATAACGTCCACCTCCACTCCACTTATAATTCTAAATTAGAAGCACCTGTTTGAGGTCGGTAGCTGCATAAAGACACCGGTCCACGCCACACAATCAGAAAGACTCCAACTACTAACATGGCTAAGACCAAAGAGCTGTCCAAAGACACCAGAGATAAAATTGTAGACCTCCACAAGACTGCAAAGGGCTGTGAGGCAACTGCCAAGCAGCTTGGTGAAAAAAGATCAACTGTTGAAGCAATTATTAGAACATGGAAGAAGCTAAACATGAATGTCAGTCTCCCTCGGACTGGGGCTCCATGCAAGATCTCACCTCGTGGCGTATCAATGATCCTAAGAAAGGTGAGGAATCAGCCCAGAACTACACGGGAGGAGCTGGTCCATGACCTGAAGAGAGCTGGCACCACTGTTTCCATGGTTACTATGAGTAATACACCAAGACATCATAGTTTAAAATCATGCATGGCACGGAAGGTTCCCCTGCTTAAATCAGCACACGTCCAGGCCCGTCTTAAGTTTGACCATGACCATTTGGATGATCCAGAGGAGTCATGGGAGAAAGTTATGTTGTCAGATGAGATCAAAATAGAACATTTTGGTCTTAATTACACTCGCCGTGTTTGGAGGACGAAGAATGATGAGCACCATCCCAAAAACACCATCCCTACTGTGAAGCATGGGGGTGGAAGCATCATGCTTTGGGGGTGTTTTTCTGCACATGGGACAGGACGACTATACTGTATTAAGGAGAGGATGACCGGGGACATGGATTGCGAGATTTTGGGGAACAACCTCCTTCCCTCAGTTAGAGCATTGAAGATGGGTCGTGGCTGGGTCTTCCAACATGACAACGACCCGAAGCACACAGCCAGGAGAACCAAGGAGTAGCTCTGTAAGAAGCATATCAAGGTTCTGGAGTGGCCTAGCCGGTCTCCAGTCCTAAGCCCTATAAAAAATCTTTTGGAGGGAGCTCAAACTCCGTGTTTCTCAGCGACAGCCCAGAAACCTGGTTGATTCTAGAGAAGATCTGTGGAGGAATGGACCAAAATCTCTGCTGCAGTGTGTGCAGACCTGCTGAAACACTACAGGAAACCTTTGACCTCTGTAACTGCAAACAAAGATACTGTACCAAATATTAACATTGATTATCACAGGTGTTCAAATACTTATTTGCAGCAGTAAAACACAAATTAGTCATTTAAAAAAAAAATCATACATTGTGATTTCTGAATTTTATTTTATTTTTCTTAGATTATGTCTCTCACAGTGGACATGCACCTACGATGAAAATTTCAGACCCCTTCATGATTTCTAAGCGGGAGAACTTGCAAAGTCGCAGGGTGTTCAAATACTTATTTTCCTCACTGTACATACATATACACATATATATATACACACACACATATACATATATGTAGGGCTGCAACAACGAATCGGTAAAATCGATGATTAAAAGCGTTGGCAACGAATTTCATTATTGAGTCGTTGTGTCGCGCGATTATGCATCTTTAACGGCGCTGCTGAGCCGTTTTGTTTTGTTCACGGGCAGTTCATTGTCAATGATGACTGACTGAATAAAGTTTGAAAAATAAAAAACTGCAGCGCGAGTTGAACAGAGCGAGGGGGGAGGAGGAAGCAGAGCAGAGGCTGTTTTCAAAGGAAATTAAGTCAATTTTACAAATGATCAACGCAGCGAAAACTGTTTGACCCAAGTCCTCCAAAGTGTGGGAGAACTTCACAAAGATAAAAAATGAGAAACATGCAGCTTTGAAAATCGCCGACACGACACGAGAGAACCACGGAGATAAAACGTAAACATGTCGGAGTCACGAACTGCAGCTGATACAACATGTCTCACTCCCAACTCGTGTTGCAGGTGAGTCTCTACAATTTAACATTTGTTCTGTTTCAAGAGAGAAAATGTAACGTCAGTCTGTCTGTAGATGAAGCTGTTTGTTTGTTTGTTTGTTTGCTGATTAATGACGGTGATAGAGAACGTGTGTGTTACTTTTGATTTAATTTAATTGGAACAAGCAGTGTTTAAATGTGATTTATAAATAAATTAACACAAAGATAATAATTTAATGATTAAGCTTCAACTTTTAATTTGTTGGCAAAGTCTGAAGACACTGCAGGTATGGCAGGATGAATTGCATTTAAACAGGAATAAAGTAATTTATTACATCTACTCAAATGTGTGTAATTAAGTATTTTATGTGTGTGTGTGTGTGTGTGTGTGTGTGTGTTTAATTGCTCTTTTAGCTACTTTTGCCTGAACCTAACACTGTAAGTGAAACAAGGCATTTCTTGAGTTGCTGTAAATTATGCTATAATACATATTTACTGTCTCATTCCAGAAAACAACAATAACAAACAACAACAAACAACAACAAACAACAACATCTTTCATGATGGACAGACATCATGGACACCACAGCAGCAGCCGTCTTCACTGAAATCATCCTTAAATGATCGTCACTGACATGAGGCCTCTGTTCATGGTTGAAGACGAAGGCTTCACTACAATAATTCAAATTTATAATCCAGGTTACAATAATCCACACTTTTAATCCAGGTTACACTCTTCCCTCAAGGACACATTTTACAAAGTAGCTACATATTTTGCAGGTATAAAGATACATTTGTATATATTTTTGTGTACATTTATCTTTTTAAGCTATGTGACTAACTTTTATTTTTTATTATTCAATATTTTACTAACAGAATAGTCAAATAGCAACCTGTTTTTTTGTGTGAATTGCTGTCAGTCAAATGTTCAATTTTGGAATAAAGGGGTGGAAATTAAAACTTTTTTTTTCTGACTCATCGATTAATTGGAAAAATAATCGGCCAATGAATTGATTATTGAAATAATCGTTAGTTGCAGCCCTCCATATATATACACATATATACAAACCGGATTCCAAAAAAGTTGGGACACTAAACAAATTGTGAATAAAAACTGAATGCAATGATGTGGAGATGGCAAATGTCAATATTTTATTCGTAAAATAACAGATGACGGATCAAAAGTTTAATCAGAGTAAATGTAACATTTTAAAGGAAAAATATGTTGATTCAAAATTTCAGTGTCAACAAATCCCAAAAAAGTTGGGACAAGTAGCAATAAGTGGCTGGAAAAAGGAAATTGAGCACATAATGAACAGCTGGAAGACCAATTAACACTAATTAGGTCAACTGACAACATGATTGGGTATAAAAAGAGCTTCTCAGAGTGTCAGTGTCTCTCAGAAGCCAAGATGGTAAGAGGATCACCAATTCCACCATTGTTGCGCAGAAATATAGTGCAGCAAAACCAGAATGGTGTTACCCAGCGTAAAATAGCAAAGACTTTTAAGTTATCATCATCAACCGTGCATAACATCATCAAAAGATTCAGAGAATCTATATATATAATATATAAATATAATATATATATGTGTACCACATGTGGTGCGAATGACAATAAAGAAACTGATTCTGACTCTCTGCCACACAAAATATAAACCCCAGAAACCATCAGGCTGACTGCAGATTGACTGTGCTTTGTGAGACAATCTTCAGCTTGATGAGTTTGTTACACCCCTAGTTGTTTTGTTTTCTAACAGACTTACCTGCTAGCTTTATAATTTCTGCAATCCAGTACACCTTTGTAGAGAGGTTAGTGTCGGAGTTGGGTACCTCAATCCTCACTCCTTCTTCTATGTCCCCCCAGCAGGTCCCCATAGGGGCCTGAAGAATAAGGGAAAAATGAACTTATCTCACCAAGAGACGATGAATTCATGAATCCCCAACTCAGATTCAGATTTTACTTACATGTTTGAAACAGCTGACCGGAGCTCCCACCGTGTTATTGCTAAAGATATACTTCCCCCAGTCGAAGGTCTCTGCAGGGACCGCTAACAGGACCAACAGAAGGTGTAGTAGAAGGTGTTCAGTCTGCACATGTTAACCCAAAGAGTATCACGTCTTTTGATGACTTACCAGCTTTAGACTTGGCCTGGTTCAGTTGACTTGCTTGGTACTGAGCATAAGCTGCCAATTTTGCCATGAGAGGTTGTTTCTGTAAGACTTTAGCTTTTTTTGTGGGAGGTTTGCCCTGATGAAAAAAACAAAACAAAACAAAACAGGCTTTAATGTAATTAAACATTAACATCAGGCAAACTGAACACCTGAAAATATTCACCTGTAGTCGTGCCAAAATGCTAGCTTTTTTAGAATTGGAGGAGTAGCTTCTGGAACAAGACACGCTGCAGAAGCGTTTAGTTTTGGAGTAAAAAGCATCCCGTACTCCAACCATCCCGCACATTTCACACGTGGCTGTGAAGGACAGATAAATGCAGAGTATAATTCCTGTGATCCACAATAATAACTCTCAGAGGATGATCGTCAGCATTTATTGATAAAATCTTTAACGGCTCCATTTTGTGACCTTATAAAACATTCAAACAGAAGAAAGAAGAGGAACAAGGTGACTTCCCTTCTGATCAATAACAAAAAAGAACGATGATTCAGTTCAATGTACAAGACCACCAGGAGTTAATGTAGCTTTGGACCGACAAAGCAATGCTGAAAATATTTTACAGACACTTTTATGCCCATTTTCTCATAAATGAAAACAAGAAAATCAGTGCATTTTCTGACAGTCTCACTGAGTTCTGAGTTTTTGCAGCCAGTAAGCTGTATAGCAGCGTTTTCAGGGATAACAGCAGAAAAATATTTTGAATCAAACGTTTTCTACACCTAAAGCCCCCAGTTTACTCTCGCGTACGTCCATACGCAGAGGTACGAACAAACCCCCCAGGGCATGTCCATGCAAAGCTCAATTTTTACAACTGCGTACGTGTACGCGGTGTCGCACAATAAACTGCCCGACGACAGACCGTTTTGTATGCAACACCAATGTATCAAATTCTCCTTCATCCCTTGCCTGGTTTAATGGCATTTTCTTTTGTTTTTTTTCCCCACAAGAGTCGAGCGATCTCCTCCCCCTCCATTGATGCCATGACTGAAATGATGAGAAATGAAGGAATTTGTCACAAGCGAATTTAACTCAGGTCCAGCATGGCTGTGGGAGGGTCTGGAGATTTCCTGGTGGGCTGGTCTGATGTGTGGGCTGCAGAGCCAGCGCTCCCTGTTTTTTTTAAATGTTTTAGATCTTTTTATTAAACAACATATCACCACACAACACTGCTGCGGCTGAGGCTGCCAGCGTTTGTTTTTGTTTTTCTTCCGACCTATCAATCAATCCAGTAAGTTTGTCAGCAAATGACCAATCAACAAACTCGATTTGTCCCGAAGGTAAACGCCACTTGTCTGTGAAGTTGTTCTGCAGCTGCTCAGGGTATACGCTCGAGTATGAAGTCTGAACCCTCTGCGTACAATACACGTGTACGCATGTGTAGTGAACTTAACCTGATGTCAAGACTAAGCCCAGTGGCGCAAAAAGCGGGTATGCAGCGTATGCAACGCATAGGGGCGCTGCACTGCAGGGGGCGTCAAAACCCTCTGTAGAAAAAATGTTTTTCTAGTAGGCATTTTCTAAATGATCAATAACAGGGGAACAGCACTGATTAGGCGCCCCTCTGCTCCTTCACCTCCCCTCTGCTCCTTCACCTCCCCTCTGCTCCTTCACCTCCCCTCTGCTGCTTCACCTCCCCTCTGCTCCTTCACCTCCCCTCCTATCGCTCTCCCTTCCCACACAGGTGGCTGTGAACACGCCCCTAAGAGAACACACTCGGCGCGTTTTTTTTTTTTTTTTTTATCTTGAACTACCGCTCGTTGTGCACTTGACAACAAGATGGAGCGGCAGAAAAAAAAGCTATCCGGGGCGCAAAACAGAAAAAGGAAAAGGGAGAAGGATAAAGATGTTGGCGGGATGAAAAAAAGTCTTTCAATGTGGTTGAAAGATAGTAGGTAAGTACTGTCAGTGTATTAGCAGGACAGGAGGGTTTAAATATTCAGGTTAGCTAAAGCTAGCCTAATACACTGCGGTTGGCTGTTAAATGTTGCCTCCCCTATTGATGTGATTTGTTTAGTATTTTCTGTATTTTTATGAATATTTGATACATGCGCCTCGCCTGTCACACACACATATCCACACACTAAGTGTAAGAATGACCAAAATAAAACTCATGAAATATTAACACAGGAAAGCTAAACTGTTGTGGCGGCAGTTCCCAGCTATGATCCAACGCTTAGCCCTCAGTGCTGCAATTTATTCACTCATATGTACATTTATTATTATTGATTCTTTAATTAAAGATGAGTTGTACAAGTTTATGTGTGTATCAGATAAATTAGTCCTCAGTGTCACTATAGCTCAAAAAGGTTGGTGACCCATGTTTCCAACCTTTTTGGCAGAGGGACACTTGAGTTTAAATGTCTTATTCAGTATCACTACAGTGGTGTGTGTTGTGATGTATCTGGTGAGTCAGATCAGATGAAATGTCCAGTCAGTAACTGTTATCCAACAAGGAGATCATTTAAATTCAAGTTTCATTTCTATTGTGGTTTGACTGCTGTATTTTTAAACCTACTTGACACAAAATTAATGTCATTCAGCTGTGAGGATGGAGAGAAGGAAGAGAAGATGACAGAGGAAGAATCAGGACAGACTGGGGAAGGCAACAGGTTGGTCTAATGCAGGTGGAAGTGAGGGAACAGTTACTTAATCCCAAGCAATAACGTGTAAACATTATTTTTAAAAACTGTATTAAGATCTGTCATTTTTACAACATGCTTTTTTGACCTTATGACTTAGTGCAGAATGCCACAGACAAAAGGTGAAGGAGACAGACACGAGGTCAGTGATAGAGGAGACAAGTGATGACATCAGGTAGGAATAATTACATTAGGGAGGCAACAAAAACCTATATACCATGATGGTTTTAATTTCTGATGACCATATTTCATTGTCTTCTTTTTTGGGAAAATTAGTTCAGGCAGACATGGTGAGTTAATCATCACAAAGCAGAGAGGACCAGATGATGAAGAGGGAGAGGAGCAGAGAGGACCAGATGATGGAGAGAGAGGAGCAGAGAGGTCCAGATGATGAAGAGGGAGAGGAGCAGAGAGGTCCAGATGATGAAGAGGGAGAGGAGCAGAGAGGTCCAGATGATGATGTAGAGGGAGAGAAGTACAGAGCTGCAGAGGAGAGGGCTGAGGCAAGGCTTTATTCAGAAGATCCATCCGAATGGCCTTTACCACACAAAATGGGGGACACATTTAGGCAGTACATGGTTGAAAATGGCCCACAGAAAGTTTCTGATGGTCCATATCCAAGATCAGAGAAGAATAAGAGGTGTTTTTCCAAAGCGTACTGTTTTCGTATACTGTCTAATGGAGAGAAAGTTGAACGAGATTGGTTACTGTATTCCAAAAATACCAGCAGAGTCTATTGTTTTGCGTGTAAGCTTTTTGGTGAAGCTAAAGTTTCTGATACATGCCTTGTGGCAGGGTACAGTAACTGGCGATGTCTTTCAAAAACACTGAAGCACCATGAAACCAGTAGTTCTCACATAAATGCTTATCTGATGTGGAAAGAAATGATATCTCGCTTACGCCTAGGTAAGACTATTGATAGTGAACTGCAGAGAACCATGGCAGCTGAAAAAGCATACTGGAGAAGTGTGTTGACTCGAGTTATTGACTGCATACTCTTCCTTGCAGAGAGAAACTTGCCACTAAGGGGGAAAAATTCTCAGTTAGGAAATCCTAAAAATGGAAATTTTCTGGGAATCCTTGAGCTCATTGCACGATATGATGTCACACTGGCAGAACATCTTAGAAAGGCAGCCTCCAAACAAACCACTGGATATCTGACATGGTGCACTCAGAATGAATTTTTAGATTCAATATCAGAGTGTGTTTTGGGTAAAATATCTGCCCAGATCAAAGCCTCTAAGTACTTTGCAGTGGAACTGGACTGCACACCTGATATTTCAAAGCAAGAGCAGGCCTCAGTCATTATTCGATATATTGATACTGATGAGAAGAAAAAAGTCACTATTGCAGAGTCTTTTGTGGGGTTCACTGCTGTGAAGGACACAACTGGGAAAGGCTTCACAGATACACTAACAGGGGTTCTGGAGAGTCTGGGGTTGGATTTGGCTAATTGTAGAGGGCAAAGTTATGACAATGGCTCTAATATGAGGGGAATAAACAAGGGTGTTCAAGCTTTAATACAACAGAGATGTCCAGAGGCTTTATTCATCCCCTGCTGCAGCCACAGCCTGAACCTTTTGTTATGTGATGCAGCCTCATCTAGCAGAGAGTGTCTCACTTTTTTTGGCACTGTTCAAAGATTGTACACAATCTTTTCGTCTTCTGTGAAGAGGTGGGACATTCTCACAGAGTTTGTCGACATCACACTGAAGCCTCTGAGTGACACCCGGTGGGAGGCAAAGCTAGACTCTGTCAAAGCTATACGTTTCCAGATGGGGGGAATTTTAGATGCACTACAAAAGCTTGGAGAAGTGGCAGGAGACAGCAAGATTGTCTCAGAGGCAAAATCACTATCTGATGAGATTGTCAGTATGGAGTTCCTTGTGTGCCTCATAATTTGGTATGCCTTATTATGTGAGATCAACTTTGCAAGCAAGGCACTACAAGCAGCAGATGTGTCAATGGACACAGCCATTAGGCTAATCGAGTCTCTGAAAGAGTTTTTGCTCAAATATAGAGAAGAGGGCTTTCAGAAGTCACTTGACATTGCAAGCAAAATAGCCATCGAAATGGATGCTTCTCCTAAGTTCAAAGAGAAACGACTTAGGAAGCAAAAGAATTTCCCAGATGACAATTCATGCACTGGTCATCATGAAAAGGAACCCACAAGGCATTTCAGGTGCATGGTTTTCAATGTTATTGTTGACACACTCCTCCAAGAGCTGTCTGAGAGGTTTTCCAATTTTCAACTTGTGTCTGAGAAATTTAAATTCATCACTAAAATGGAGCACATGACAAAAGCTGAGCTGGAGGAATCAGTGACCACATATGCCCTGACCACTTGTGATGTTTCAAGAGATATCATTCAAGAAATATACCCAGCAAGCCGTCTACTGAAGGGTTACAAGGCTCTAGAAAAGTTAAATTTCCTAATTCAAGAGGACCTTGATTTGGTATTTCCAAATTTGACAGTAGCCCTTAGAGTATTTTTAACCATGCCTCTGACAGTTGCATCTGCAGAGAGATCATTTAGCAAGCTGAAGCTCATCAAAACATACCTTCGTTCAAATATGAGCAATGATCGCTTGTCCCAGTTAGCAGTGATCTCTATTGAAAACAGTGTGGCACGGTCTATTTCATTTGATGTTATACTT